GCCGGGTCCCCCTGGTCGGCTGGAGACGGTCTCCAGCAGACCAGGGGCACCGGAGCAGCTTACGAACGGGGCTTTCTCGCCCCGACCTCCGGGGCGAGAAAGCCCCGTTCGTAAGTGCGGATCCGATATAAGTCGGATCCGCGTAAGTCGGGGACTGCCTGTATTTGAAGGAGAATTATAAAGATTGAAAATTTGCTATTTCCAATATTCTAGAGAGAGAAAATCCATGACATCCATTACAAATAGTTTATTTTAAAATATCAATTTTCTGTACTTTTAAACGATTCATCTTGTTTCAAAACATAAAATTACTCAAGTGTTTTAAATATATCTATACTAGAGGGTGAGGCTCGTTGTTGACCGGGCAAAGTCATTTTGCATAGATTACACTTACAGGAAAGGTCAAGACATTAAATATATGTAATAGAATCTTTTATTCACGTGCTTGCAAAAGGAAACTAAAAGAACAGTTTTAAATTTGTAGGATTTCATCTTCAAACATTATTCATTTTACTGAGTAATTATCATACATTGTAAATTTGAATCAGAAACTTAGTGAAGAAAATTAACTGGTGTCAGTTAAAGCTTGCTGATATACGATGTTTGTGGTTTTTCAGTCTTGCTTATGTCAACAGATTTTTTCCATTTCCCACTCTGGATGTTGCTACATAAAATTGTCTGTGTACAAAACAATCTCAATACAATGTTGGTCGAAATAAATCAAAATAAAAAAAGAAATTGATATAAATTGCTGGTGCATAAAAATCTTTAGACAATGATAGCAAGCAATCAATTCTGATTCTTTATATTTATTGTATTAGTAGTAATATGCAAATATGTTCTTAAAAAGTAAATAACAAAACAAATCTGAATGCCAAAAAAGGTAACTCCTATCAAATAAAGCTTCCATCACTCTTTCTGTAAACAATTTGAATTATTTTGTCGTTTATAAGAGTACACATTTTCTTTGCACTAAAATGACAGTTGAATAGGTGACCCAATTTTAATTTTGTTAGCAAGTATTTTTATGAACTCTAATCATAATAATCATGACTTTTTTTCAATGAAAAACAAAAAATAATTATTTAAACCTTTCACTCAAAATATTCCAGTGTAAAAAGTAGTGCGTTCAGCTAATTCAAGTGGCAGGATTGTTTATGCAAAATTTGGTATCTGTAGGTAACCGCAAAGTATGACTTCATTTTGTACAAACAAATCCATAAACAAACAAACTCTTCAAAATATGTAGTAGATAAAACCTTTACTTAATCAAAATTGACCTTATGGAACAATTAAAGTGGGGACATTTGCCTGGGCAGTTAGACTTTCATAATGTATAATACCAGTGAAATCAGCATTTGTTCTAATAATAATTGCAGCTATGTATATAATTCATTTGTTACATAACCTGTAATCAGTTCATTAGCTGTAAATATTAATCAGTGGTTGCTTCACGTATCTGTTTATATTTGTGGATTTTTGAAAGCTTGTGTAAAAACTAAAAGAATTAACCTTTATTAAAATGACTTATGTATTCCTAGAAAGTTCCTCATTCTGAAAAAAATGGACATAATCTGAATGCATTGTAAGTGCTTGGTGATTTTTTTAAAATGTATTTTTATTTTATTAGTGGAAAGAAGCATGTTGGATTTCCCACAGCATGTCTCATCCAAAAAAGATGTGCGCTCAGCAAGCACAGAAGCTGACAAAAGGCTTTCTTATTTTGATGTGGAGATGAGCATGAGAGAAGATGTGTTTCAAAGGATTGTTTATTTACAGGTAGATGACGAAGATTAATAAAGATATCCTATAGAGGAATATGTAAGATGCCAGCAATGAAACTTATATTTGAAAAAATCAGTACAGCAGCATCTCTATGACTTGGTTAATCTCAACTATTGTTAAATCCTCAACTCAATAGAGTTATAGCGTATGTGTTACATAAAGGACCTCATTTAAATTCTCGTGTTTCAAATAGGGTTGCCAGATGCTTTCACAAAAAACCCCGAACATGGCGGGGGGAAAAATTGGTTGAGCAAAAAAAAAGGACCAAAGTTGTTGAGCAATAAACTGTGCCTTTAAATCTGGTATTTTCTGTGGGGTTTTTTACCGGACAGGGACCACAAATACTGGACTATCTGGGCGAAAACCGGACATCTGGCAACCCTATTTGTCTTGAGAGCCATAGGTTGCTGATTCCGGCTGCAGTTCCTTCGAAATGGGGAGCTACTAAAGAGTGCGGTGAGCAACGTCCGACCATAGGGCGCATGTGACAGCAGCAGGTCTGCTGCCACCTAACTGCAATTCACGGTATCCAAGGGGGTTCCTAGTGGGGGGAGAACCTCTGAAGGTCCAGAGCTCCGGTCTGATATGGTCAGAGGAACACTCAGAAATCCAAACAGGGGTCCACGTTATCCAAGACAGTTTGTGCTTCTCAGATGTGTATTCTGTCTAGGTGAAAACTGGACACCTGCCAATCCTAGTTTCAAAAACCTAAGAATATTGTGTAAAGTAAATCTTTCTTGGCTAGAAATCTAGAGAAAATGGTGCCTGTTTTCATTTCAGTATTTGACTGCCAGATGTGCTTTTGTGCACACTCATTCACTATTTTTCATTTCATTAGAGTTAGTAATGGGTGCATTTTTTCTTCGTTATTCTCAAAGTCAGTAATGCTGATTTAAACAAAATTGTCTGGGTTTGCTGCTGGAGCCGCTTTTTAAGTGTTTTCATAGTATATCATACTCCCAGTGAGCATCATCGGAAGTGTTATACTTTAATTAAACAATGAAAAGTCCTGTGGCACTTTATAGATCTTACAGGACTAACAGATTTATTGGAGCATAAGCTTTTGTGAGTATGCATGCATCTGACAAAGTGGGTCTTTGCCCACAAAAGCTTATGCTCCAATAAATCTGTTGGTCTGTAAGGTGACACAGGACTTCTCATTGTTTTTGCAGATTCAGACGAACACGGCTACCCCTCTGATACTTGCTTTAATTAAGTGTATATTATTAATTTTGTAATTCAGACTAAACTAAATAATTAAAATTTCCTGTGATGGTCGCACTTTTCTTACTCTCCCAAATGTATGAAATTGTATTTACCATTCTTCAGTCAAGTAATTTTAAAATGGTAAGCAAATAATGTAGTATTTATTTATACTTTAACATTTATACTTTAACATTTTCATCTTTCCCTGCTCCAAATGTGAATCCTGTATTTATTAAGTCTTTATGCTTATTGTTGTTCCACATCACTTGTAAAGCACAGAGCCACTGCCTGCTGGTGTCATTTCTCTGCTGTCTCTTTCAGTACAGTTGCTTTTTGTAATAGTAACTGGAAATCTTGATACTATTTGCACTGAGATCCGAACAGAAACTTTTGTAATCAAGTCCTGAATCTGTTAAAGTTCTTACCATGTTTATACTACTCCTTAAATCACTTTTATTTAAAAAAATATTAGTAGAGGAAGATGTATAAGGTTTTTTATGTCTAATTAAATAAAAAAATATTCTAAATATTAAGGAAAAATTCCACTGTGACTTAGGTATTAAATGTATATTCCAGATCTCCTTCTATAGGAAACATTTATTCCAGTGATCTAAGCCCTCGATATAGGTGTTTATTATAGATTCCTAATATTAATGTGTGTGATGAAGTGATAATATTAAGCCTAGTCATGCCTAATAACTGCACACACTGGCATGTAGAGGCATGCTTAAGAATGTTACCAAACCTCCTCACCCACACATCCTTGTTTCTACTCTAGTGTTCAATATGTCACATAGTCTCTTTTTCTCAGTTCTCCTTAAAGACTTGTTCATACAATACACGGAATAATATGGTTGTTCAAAAATGAAATGTAAAATTATATTATGTAAATATCATCAAAGTGACATTTAAGAAGTAATTATCATTAATTCTGAAAGATTCAGAAAAATAATGTAAAGTACTCAAGTTTATAATCTCTCACAAAACTTGAACATCAGAAAAACATTGGGTGAGATAAAATATCATTAATAATTAGGAGTTTAAAATTCACCCCATAACACATTAAATCCATCATTGCTGTAAAGTCTTACACTATTATTTATCTTGAATCACATAATTAGCCTACTTAAGCGGAGTTGAACTGCTCATCTCCCTGAACTTAGGTATGTGCATAAATGTTTGCAGGATGAGCATTAGATCTCTTCAAGGCAGCCATTGTGATATTTCTGTTTATAAGTATGTTTTAAGCGAGGTAGTTGATAGGGTAAAAGTGACCTAAGGAAAAATCCCACGCGTGGCCTAACTAATTTGACATGGTATTCTGTAACTCTTCTTAATTTTAATTGTAGTAAGATAACCCTATCCCTTTATACCAGGGCTACTCAACATACGTGTGTGTTGGGTTTATGTGGGGCTCAACGTGTGGCCTTTGGGTGGAAGCTAAAGCAAAAAAGTAGTCAAGATAATGGTTTTCTGTTGATATGTTTTTTAGTAGTTAAATTCCTGGACTGTCGTTGCTCATTAAAAGTGCTGTTATATGGGTGGAAATCGGGCAAATGTTGCATTTTATTAATATCAGCAGAACTGACTTAAATGGGGCTTGTGTGTTGTGTAGTCTTGCCTTAATCTTTGTATTCATGCCCGTCAGTGTGAAAGAAGCTATTTGCATATATTTGCGTATATGTGCAACCACACTTAAGTTGTGGCCCTCGGCATGTGCTATATCATTGTGGCCCCCGGGGCTTCCAAAGTTAAGTAGCCCTGCTTTATGCATTAAAATACTCCTGTTTTTTCTACTCATCATTTTCTATTCAATATAATTTCAGCAAACACGTGATCTAGGATATTTAAAGCCTGAAGCTAAGCGATACTTAGAGAAGTCAATTAAAATGGGAAAAAGGAATGGACTCCATCTTACCAAAGAAGTACAGAATGTGCGTATGGGATTTCTCTAATTATAATATGATGAAAGTATGGTTTCACTGCTATGAAGAATTTTTTAAGTGTATATTTGTGTTCCGGGCTGTTGACATCAATACCACAGGAGCAGCAACAGCTGCAGTGCCAAACCCTTTAAATCACCACTGGCGTATTACACTCTGGGCAGCTCTAATGACCTGGCAGGGTCTGCGTGGCACCCTCCAAGTGACACTGCGAGTTGGTTGCCCCCAGCCCTGCCTCTGCCCAAGGCTCTGCCATTTTTGGGAGAATGAAGCTGGGCTCCCCACATGCACCTTGTGCAGGAGCCCAGCAAGTCTGTCGGCCCCCCTGTCTATAGGACATCCTATAATAGGCATTGAAATACAGGCAGTCCCCGAGTTACGCGGATCCGACTTATGTCGGATCTGCAGTTACGAACGGGGCCCTTCCTCTCCCTGGTCTCCAGCAGAGACGCGTCTGGGCTATCAGCTGACCGCGCGCTCCGCGGCTTGGCTCTGCTTTGCTCTGCTTTGCCCCCCCCATTCCCCTGGTCTGCAGACGGGGGGCAAAGCAGAGCCAAGCAGAGCCAAGCCGCGGAGCGCGCGGTCAGCTGACAGCCCAGACGCGTCTGGGCTGTCCCACTGCCCCCGTGCTCCGTGGCTTTGCTCCGGACACCTGTGGTACAGCAGCTGGGGCGCTGCCAGTTGGTCCCGTAGCGCCGCTCTGGGCGCTACTGGACC